AGACCTGTCCCACTGCCCCAGTAGGAGCAGCACCATTGGGTGCCCCAGGTGTTCTGGTGAGGGATTGGCCCTGGATTCAGAGGGAGAACCCAGCCCCAGGGGCAGCGTTTCAACCCCGGCCCTCGCCCAGCGCAGCCTCGCCCCTGCGTGTGTGCACTCACCACTTGTCCAGGCTCGACTGGGGCAGCGTTACCTGCTGGGGCCATCTCTAGCTGCCCCCACTGTGACACAATGCCTGTGATGTCACAACAGCCAGATCACATCACAGCCAGGACAGCCCCGTCCTTCGTCTCCACTCCAGCTCATCGATTTATAATGGCCCCAGGCAACCAAATTGGTGACACCCACAAAATACAGACCGAACTGGGAGGTCAAGTAGCTGAAAGACTAAAGGTGTGGCTTCCATCAGAAGCTTTTAGATGGGTTATAGCTGTAGCTTGAGAAGCTCTTCTGCTGGCATAATTCTCTGTGGAATGGATGATCTGGTTGTGGTGGGTCCAGGTGAGAGGTACTGCTGCACGGCCTCTCTACCTTCTCTGTTGTTTGGGAGGAGTATTGTTTGGGAGCAGGTACCACAGGCCATAGCATGCAGGACATGGAGAAGACAGTGCTCTATCAGCTGTGGTAATTTCTGCCAAACATTTCCTCTACAGCAAACACATTTCCTCTGGAAGTCAGAGCCGAGGCAGCTGAAGAGTCCATGGCAAAGAGCCTGGAACCAGAGATTCCCATTACAATCTGTACACTGACTGCACACCCTTTTTGAGGGGGTCCAGCCTGTCTGTGAGCTTCACTCAGTGCAAAAATGCCAATAAATAGTGTATTTGAGCAAATGCTTCCTCTGTTGAGTGTCCGTGCCTCACTTTAGTGAGGAATGCAGGCACTGGTACTCAGTGCTTGTGGTGTGTTGACCTTGGTGGAACAGGGAGAGAAAATCAGGACCAAAGACTTGTGGGTTGAGACAAGGACAGGGAGATCACTCTGGCTCAACTTGGGGAAACATATTTAATTTTCTACCAAACAAATCAGAGTGGGATAATGAAAAATAAACCCAAATCTTAAAGTATCTTTACCATAACCCTCCCTTCTTCCTGGGCTCAACTGATCACTCTGGCCAACACTGTGGGCCAGAACTCACAGATCACTTGGGTAGTTCTCCATGCTGGGCTGTCTGGCACAGCAGCCCTTACCTCCTGAACAGAGGAGTTCTTATCTCAGTATCAACCAACTAGCAAAGGCAAGTGACCAGCTTCAGGATTTTCTTCACTCATGGATATCAGCCCATTTCCTTGACAGCAGATAGTTATCCACAGGAATTTGGCTTTGCAGACCTAAAATAATAAAAAGGAAGTATAAGGATCTCTGTTGAATACTGCTTTAGCCTAAGTGTTTAATAGTCTGGCATAAGATCACAGTATAAAAACCAAAATTCCACATTTGAAGACTGAATGTTCTGACCAGTTATGAGTAATAGGTATTTATAGGAGAACTGCAAAAAAGTGTAAAAAATACAGATCATCTAATGGTTTTAGCCCTAAGCACAACAGGAAGTACAACCACGATCACATGGTAAGTCATTTCCATGGAAACTGATAACATTTTCCATTAAACTGAAATTAATTTCAGGCTATAATCTGCTTAAGGACACAGAATGCTTAAGGATGCAGCAAGACAGCTAATGCCATATGTAGAAAAAGGAAATGGCCAAACTGTGGGTATGACTGGAGTGTAAAAGTGTGAGAGCAGGACTGAGTGTAAGAAAACTCTGTCCCAGCACATCATGTCACAGGCAGGAAATGCTCCCTGCCCTCCATTACCACCGGATCTCACTACGTGGGTTTCCCTGCAATGGACTGGGTAAATAGTGCATGTGGAATTATTGGAATTGATATAACTTTTCCAATTTTTTAATGGTTTTAGTTAACCTTTTAATTAGTTGTTAATAAGTAGTGTGTGGGGCCTTAAACGACTTTTAGCTGGCATTCAGCAGAATTTAACATAAACTGACATTGTGAGAAAATTGGGAAAATTACTGAAACTTTAGCTTTTGATAAACTAACCTTGATAGACTTCAATGAGCAAAGCCCGGGAAGAGAAAGATGTATTGTTGAAATTGGATACAAGGCGTGCAGAATTTATGGACCACATGGACATTCTGCAGAAACCAGAAGATAAAGGAGAGGCTAACAAAAACTCGGTATATATGTTGGAAAATCCCTACTGAGGGAAAAAGATACTAAAAATATGGACCTAATTAGCATGAACAGCGAGAAATTAATAACCAATAGAGGATAGAAGACTAATTAATGAAAGGGAATTGCATAGTTTAGAACCAATGAACATTATTTCTTTGTTTGCTGAAAGTGTATAAACAGGTGGAAAAGGGTCGCATCAGTGTCTGTGTGGAGGCTGGGATTCTGTCAGTCACACACACCCCCCAGCACTGTGAATAAAGTAATGTCTGGCTTTCTAAGACTAAAAATGCAGTGTTAGAGGATTTTATTATCCTTCCCTTGTCCATTAACTGTGCCATGGATCTCTCCTAGCTCAGGAACAAAAGGTATCGATTAACTGCCTTACTAGCCACACGGCATCCATGATTGCCAAGGCCATGACCCAGCCCCCAGAGCTTCCCTTCCACCCTCGGTGGCCCAGGATTCACCTCCAGCCCACACCAGAGCTATCAGTCCCTGTTCCAGCAGCACTGCAGTTTATCCATTTTCACCTTCCCCCAGCCTTTCCCCAGCCCAGCCATGGCCCCAATGAGCCAAGCCTACCATCAGAAAAACACCCCTGCCTGGCTTGCTCCCTAAGCCCTGCCTGGCCATCCCTGCACGTGACTCTGAGCTACAAGATGACTTCCCAGCCTGAACTCATCCTGTCTCATCACCATGAACATGACCCATGATCACCCTGCAGGAGTGATTGAACTTGCCGAGGGTGTCCAGGCCTGCCCTGCTCCATGGATGGGGACAGTGGGACAGACAGACTGTGGTGTCAGCACACTCAGCTCCCAGCTCCTGGGCCTGATGGAGCTGCCAGCCCTCACTGCACCTGGGCACAAGGGTTTGCAGGGCCGTGACAGCCACATCCTGCTGCCATGGCAGTCCTTGCTGGGAAACTACACCCCAACCCACCACAGCATCAGGCAACCCGAAAGGCCCTGTTGTTGCTGTAACTACAAGCTACAGGACAGGTGGCAGTGAGGCAGTCCCAAATGAACTGGGCCAGAAGAAGTCCTCCTGTCAATTTATGGGTTGTGGAGAAGTGTTCCAATTGGTAGCTGGATTTGTTGGTTTCCCACAACTAAAAGTCACAGTGATTAGGCCTTACATCCATTTCTTCAGTTCCTTCTTGAGAAACTAGTGCCATTGAATAGGCCTGTCGGCCCACATGGCCCGAGGTATTGGGGAACATGAGATAAAAGCTGCTCCCACCAGTGATTTGTTTTGATTAACTCGTAGGGTTGTACTAACTTCCCTGGCAGTGTTCAAGGCCTGGTTTGATGGGGCCCTGAGCATGGACCCACCTGATGTAGTCGGTGGCCCCCCTGCCCGGAGCAGGGGGTTTGGAACTAGATGATCTTAAGGTCCCTTCCAACCCAAACCATTCTATGACTTTTATGATTTCTTTGATAACTTGCACCTAGAGTGGATGTATTCATGATCTCACAGGGCAAAAAGGTAATGGTGGCTGGTTCACCAGATACACTCTCCCGATTTACCTTCCCAGCTCTCTAAACAAGTTATCACTCTGCTTATGAAGCAGGTGTGAGGTGCCAGCATCAGCCCTCAGATGAGGATGTTGTACCTACAGCAGCTCCCAGCACTTGGAACGTTTTCAGTTTCCATAACTGGGGTGAATGGTGTCAGGTTAACCCAGTATCCAGACCCCTGGGGTGGGAGGGATGATGGTGCACTGTCTCAACCCAGTGACATTCAATAACTATAAGTGGCACAGCTCTTGCAGCCTCCACCAAGAGCATGTTTTGTAGTTTTTAATCTAGGCAAAGTAAGGAGAAGAGCAGTCACCGCTAACAGAAATTATTCTTCCTTTTAATGAGGAATGGCTTCAGGTGAAGAATTCCACTGAGTGAACATGAGTTCCCTCTTCTTTGTCTTCTCCAAAGCAACAGCAGTGAACTGTGCTTTCCCTCCCTCTTTCCCTGTGCAAGTGTCAACTCAAGTATGAACAAGACGCTGTGTAATGGGACACACCTCTCACATCAGAACAATCTGTAGTGGTTTTTGCAGATTCGCAGGCAGGTTATTGAAGATTCTTCATACGAAGACACAGACTGGAATAAGGTGATGTGTATTGCCTGTTCTAGAGCTACAGAAAATCAAAGGTCACCAATCTTCCTGGCAGTTAAGGGCTCCTGAAGATGCATGCACAAATAGCAAACCTGCTATCTTGGAGATGGGACTAGAGGGAAATCCAGCTTAGTATATGGTTCAGAGGAGAGAGCATGAAAAAGGTGAGGTTTCTTGGCACTTACCCACCTGATCAAACCACTACAACTGCAACCAATATCAAATTCTCATAATCTTCCATGACCTTCATGGCTTTTTAATCCATTTGCCCTTCAGATGAACTGAGGAAATAACCCACTTGTATTATCTTCATGTCTGTTGTGCAGATGAAGAAATGGTGCATTTGTATATGTGAAGGGAGTTCTCTTATCTCACAGGGCTGAGAGTCTGAGAGACACAAAATGGTGAACCATAGGTGCCTTTATTTTTATAGAAATAATTTAACTGAGCAAGAAGCACACCTTTGTCGTAACTTCAAAAGAAGTTAAAGGAAAAACGACACATCCTGTTTCTACAAACCCTTTTCCAGTAACTCTAAGGAAAGTCTTTAAAGGTTTAAGGGTTTGGAAAGATACTTACCTTCATTCATAGTCTTCCTGTTTTCCTCTGAGGTCAAACAGATTTATGTGTGAAAGGACAACCTGCACTTGACAGAGTGAAGCTATGTGCTGCTTCTTGTTTACACCAGTTCTGCAAAACTAATCCCAAAGCCTCTGCCTTTTCTTGTATTTTTGAACTCAATAAAAACACAAAGACTTGAAGAGAAGATTATCTGGAACATTTTAAATGCTTCTTCAAAGGGTGATTTGCTACAGTGTTTTCTCATTATTAAAGTAGAGCATCTGCTGAAATAAGAAAGAAATCGTGCACAAAGCAAATGAAAATTCTGGAAAATCTAAAGTCAATCTGAGGGTTAACAATGTCCATGGTGCAGCCAAGCTCAGATCTGTCTATCTGTTCCCAAGTCAACATCTTCATTCAAGGACTTCCCTCTGCCACCCTACAAATTCTTCTCAATGGCACCCAAGCTCTGATGGGAACAAGCCCTGACACTTAGAAGTGGACAAGTAAGTCCAAGTGGACAAGAACAGTCCAGCTGCATTTCCCTGAAGCTGCCCTTGAACACAGGGTAAGAAGAGGCTTCTGGGATCATCGAGGCTTGCCCTGGAGTCCAGTTCCTGGACTCAGCAGGAAACACAAGAGCATAAATCATGTTTTTCTAAGCAAACTCTCCTGTGGACCATTTACAGACTATCCTCACCTGTCCCCAGAGCCTCTTGAGCAGGAGATGGCCACCCGCCAGCTCCTCGCATCCTGACCCACTTTTCCTGAGAAATCAGCAAGGGAGAGTTTCACAGACAAGAGGAAATCCCTAAACAGCATGCAGCTCACAGAGCGGAAAGTTTTTTCTTGGGTTCGTTGTGTTTTGTTTTTTTTTTTTACCCAACTTCCCAATGAATGTATTTGGCAGCTCACTGTCCCTGTCAGCACAGGATCCCAGAGGAAGCCAGAGCTGGGAGGGCTCTTCCTGCCCAGGGGGAGGTTTCCCAGGAGTGCGAGGGATTTACTACTCGCCACCTTTCACTCCCTCGTCCCTCTCTGTGTCCCACTGAAGGCCATGTGCAGTGGCAAGCTGCAGACAGGTCTGCTGGTGGCTGGCTACTTTGTGTACCTGCTGGTGGGTGCCGCGGTGTTCCAGGCACTGGAGAGGACCGCGGAGAAGCAGGAGAAAATGGCAGCTGCCCAGATGAAGGAGGCTTTTCTGCAGAGCTTCAGGCAGCTCACAGTGGTGGAGATGGAGCAGTTCATGAAGGTAAGGGGAGCCCTGTGGAAGTCCTTTCTCCCTGCTCTTTCCTCATTAGGTGTTGTTTCCTAGTTAGCCTTGCTACACAGGTTGACTTTCACTGCTCTCCTGATGTGGTCACTTGGATGCTTTTAGCAAACCCCTCTCCGGTCTGAGCGGGTCACTCTGAAGGTAAATACAGCTCATGTAGCTGGACAAAACCTTGTGTGTGGTAGCTATTAACAGTCTCCATCCTACAATGTCCTTTTTTTTTTGGTGGTGGGGGTTCTTGCCTCCTGTTGATTCGGCTCTCAGTGTGGCTGTGCTCATACACAACGGGTGGAATGGCAGGAAAAATAAGGCTGTCTGAAATGAATGGCTGTGGCTTCCACTTACAGCATTGTCACTGGCAGCACCAAGGAACAATAAGGCAAGGTCTGAATGGGGGGGAAAAAAAGAAGCCCAAATTACTACCAGGAGAGTGGCATGGTCAGGGCTTACTTTCTGAAGATGGTGTAGAAGTGAAACAGGTAGTCTGGTCAGAGGGAAAGTGTTACTGATCACAGCTCAGGAAGCTGAGAAGTACAGTTGTCTCTCCATCGTCAGTATTTCCTAGCTTTATCTGCTACAAAATAGAGACAATGAGGAGTGAAAGCTCTGCGTGGAAGCATTTCCACATGGGAAACGAATGAAGTTCTTAATGGGCTTGTTTGAAAAATAATGAAAGGTGGGGAAGAACTGGTATTTCTAATAACACAACCAGCAATTCAGCCCCCTCTTCACCTACACATGCACTCTCTTCACCTTGATTGGTTTTTATGGGTATGAGAGGAGAAAAAAAAAAAAAAAGAGCTTTTCAAGACAAAAAAATCTTTGTGTAAGGGCTATGGAATGATTTTTGTTAGCCCTGATTTTCTGTAACACCAGCAAAAAGGATACTGAAGGAGGAAGCAGGGAGGAAGACTTTGCTGGTGCACTTTATTCCAGCTTGTGTCTTGCCTCTGGCAGGGCTCTGTCTTGGATTTTATCTCAATTGTTTCTTTACAAAACAACCTACCTTACAGATGTCCAGTCTGATCTTCTCTGTTTGCTAAAGGCAATTTTAATTATTTTAATCATTATTTTTTTTTAACTTAAATGAATTAACAGCACTTAGAATTAAAACCAAGGGAAAGAAGAGTCTGAAAATGCTTAAAGTGATAGATGACAGGGCATCTATCACTCTTGAGAGGCTTGGATAGTCAAGCTCCCTATGGCAGGGCAGTCTCAACTCACTCCAGACCATCTCTGACAGATGTTCCTCTAACCTCATCTCAAAGACCATTTTGCAAATATGTGCATGTGTGTTCATGCATGCAGTTTGGAGAAGAGTGTGTATGTGTGGCTTTGCAAATCAATGGACTTTCTCTGAAGGTAATTCTGTGACACTAACCAGAATACAGCCCTAAAATTAAATTCTGGGTGTATGTCATGTGTGCCCTGCCACAACTCCCCGATGCACCCCTGGCACAGATCAGAGTCACTGCTCAGTGTGCCTGTGCACAGGTGGGTCATCAGATCCTGGATCCACCAGTGCCACCTCAAGGGCAAATCCAAATCTAGCAACCAGCCATCCCATCCCTTAGTCTAGCTCTGGCACATCCTAGCCATCTATAGGATCATTTTTACCCAAAGTACTCAACCTAAAAGAATCAAGGTACCACTGAAAGAAAAAGCACTAAAAGTTCTCTTAACACCCACTAAGGCAGTCAGCATAAACAGGGCAGAAGATGAACAGTGAAAACCACCAACTAACTGCTACCCAATCTTGGAGGTGAAGGTTTGAGTAGTGTAGAGGATTACCACAGTCAGGTGAGTAGTACTCACAGGAAAGGAGCAGTAGTTGGATATACCTGTAGTATCCTTGCAGCATGCACTTCAGAAAAGCAGTCATGATGATACCAAGCTTTGCCTTCTCTCCCAGAACCTGACTGAAGCCATTCAAAATGGAGTATACCCTGTTGGAAATGAATCACGGTTTGAAGAGAGCAACTGGGATTTCAGTAACTCCTTCTTCTTTGCAGGCACAGTTGTCTCCACAATAGGTAGGTCTAATGCTTTTCATTTATGTGTGCTTCATGTGTGAATGATGCTTATTACCTCTGGTTATTAGGACATGAATGGATAATACTTTCCAGGATAAAAACTCCAGCCCTTCATTGTCACTGACAGTAAGCAGCCATGGACTTAAGTCCTTACCACTGCACAGCTCTTCATGCATTATTTTGACTTGTCCAATAGCAGTAGCCTTTCATAATATTTCCCACTTGTTTCTTCTTTTCAAGCCATCTATTAAAATGTTTGCTCTGCTGACAGTTGTGTGTGGGAGATCACTTTCCTGGTCTTTACTCCAGGGTCAAATAGGCTTTAAATCTGAGAGTGCTGTAAAGGATAAAAAAATGGTAGGAAGTAAGTGAACCCTGCTGGGGCATGGGCACTGTCTCAATAACCTGTTTTGAGCTGTTAATTCACATATTGAATTAGTAATATGCCAGGAGGAAAAAAATGGGAAGAGTGAAAGGCAAATACTGAGACTTTTATGCTGCTGCTTCAAGCTGTTCTGACCTTTTTAGGGCCTGCCTGCTCCTACCTGCTTCTCCCTTTCTCTCAAATATGCATCCCAAAAAGTGCAGGCCTGCCAAGCTTAAGCACAAAATCCATACTGTTGGCACCTGCTTCACACTCTCATGAAGTGGAAGTTAAATCTATGTTTTTGCAGAGTGAAGCTGAGGCCTCCCTCCCCCTTCACCCTAAGCACAGCTGCTCCACTGATCCATGAGTGTTACATATTACAAAGGCCCAAATGTTGTCCCAGCATCATGGCAGGTGTTTAGGTGTTGCATGAACCCATGTGGAGATCTCCTGCTGTAGAGGAAAGCCAGGAAAGTCCTTGGCTCTGTGCAAGTGCTGCAAAGCAAGAACTAAAACATCTCTCAATTAGAAACACTGTTTTCAGTACAAATCCAAAGAAGAAAATTAAGCTGCCCCAGCCAAAATAAGCACACCCACCCCTCATTTAATGTACCATTTACATTATGCCCAAGTCTCACACTATCCAATACATTTTCAATACTCATCATCATTTTTCCCATCCTTTGATATAATACACAGATATCATTCCCTTAGTCTATGGATTACCCCTGTGAAATGTCTGTAAAATGTCCATAAAGGTCCAGAGACGTCCACAAAATGCCCAATGAGTTCATTTAGGCCATGATTTTGGGCTCAATCTGTTGTGGTGGTCACTCAGGACAGGAAAGGAACTGTGTGAGGTGGAGTTACTGATCACCAAAGGCAGTTCAGGTTGGGTTACTGCTGCACTTGCACTGCTTCTTGCAAGCCTTCTCCACTGGTTCCAGTGGCTCCTGCTGTAGTAATTCCCATAACATGCAACTCAGGTCCCAGGATACAACAATATATTTCCCTTACAATCTCCACCCCCGTCCCTTTGAGCCAGGTCATATGGTTTAACATTGCAATGAACTCTTCCTTTTGCTTCTGCTCCAGCTTGGATTTATCCACAGGCTGCGGTCCCTTAGGGTTGTAACTGCTCCAAGCAGAGCCTTATCCATGAGCCACAGTCTCTCCAGAGCTGTACCTGCTGCAGCATAGACTTATCCACAGCCATAGTCACCTTGAGGTGCACCTGCTCCAGCACGGCCTTATCCATGGACCTCAACACTTTCAGAGCTGTAGCAGCTCCAGCGTGGCCCTGCCCACAGCCATGGTCCCTTCAGATGTGTACCTGCTCCAACATAACCTTACACCTGGCTACAGTCCCTCCAGGGGTGTGCCTGTTCTGCCATGGGTTTATCCATGGACACATGCTTTGAGTTGCTCCAGCATGGACTTATCCACAGCTACGGATGATCTGGTGTACCTGCTGCAGCATGGGCTCATCCTTGGGGCCACAATCCCTTCACAGGTACACCTGCTGTGGCACAGACATAACCACAGGCCCTTTATGATGGACCTGCTCTGTCACAGGCTTATCCAGAGTCACAGATGCTTCAGGGTGCCCTGCTCCCACCTGGACCCATCCACACTCTCTTTGTCTTTGAACTCAGGTTCACTGGAGTTCCAGCCTGCCCATGAGTGGCACGGGAACAGCCATCACTCTGAACGTGTCCCACTTCCCTCTTCTTCCCCCAGCTTTATATGCTGAGTATTACACCAGATGGTCTGGAATGTCCCTTTGGTGAGGTAGGGTCACCTGTCCCAGCTGTGTCCCCTCCCAGCTCCTTGTTTACTTCCAGCCTCCTCGTTGGTGGGGTGGGGTGAAGAGCAGAAAAGGCCTTGATTCTGTGCAAGCCCTGCTCAGCAATAACCAAAACATCGCTTAATTAGCAACACTGTTTCTGGCACAAATCCAAAGCGCAGCCCCATACCAGCTGATGGGAAGAAAATTAACTCTATCCCAGCCAAAACCAGTGCAGGAACACGGCTCTCCCAGGAAGTGTACAAATCTACCTGTTTCTCTGCACCTTTGCCACAAAGGTCTGTTGTGAAGGCATGTCAGGTACTTCTCTTCACCAGCTTTTTTTTCCATGAAAATGGAATATTTCTGCAACAGGAGCATAACACAACTCATGCATTTGGGATCTTGTAGACAAAAAAATCACTCGGTTGTTTTATTTGTCTTTCCCCCAAAAGAAAACATTGCATTTTCCAAGTAATGCATGCCTTGAGATGAACTGTGCTTGGGAAATGCCTTTTCCCAGGGTCACTGATAGAGTAAGGACAAACACAAAGTGCAGTACTCTTGCACTCAGGGATGTACCTCATGGGGTCTAAGAGTCTCCAGATCATTAAAAGACATGTTTGGAGTTGTTCCACTACTGAGATAAATCCTGGTTTAGTAGGACTTTAAGACAAAAATATCTCTGTGGCGTGAATAAATAAGCCACCACTGAGATCTGGACTAATTAGCACCATCTATTCCAATGCACACTGCACTCCTTGGGACTGGAGCCAGTATCTGGACACACCAACTTACTGGGATTTAGCCAGAGAGGTCACTAACACACAGGCAGATCAACAAGAAGCTAGAAATGGCTGCATGTGATTCCAACAGCCTGGGACTCCAGCCTTGATGTCTTCCAGATCCTCAGACTTCTGTTTTCTGTCTTTCCATGTATTTGTTGCAGGACAGAGCACATTTCCCATAACTGCTTCTAGATTGAACTTTTGTTCCCACTAAGTCTGTGCTGGGAGCACACAGTGCTCTCTGCATCACCCCAAACATACAGGGTGAATAACTTCATCTGCTTACTGCCTTTTTCAGAGAAGAAAAGAATTCACATGTCCTGAGAAGTGCTAACCACATCTTTTGGGGTCACAGGCAGGCTGGATTGGGGGTAGAGTTCAATGTGACTATGGACTGCTCCAGTACGCTGGAATATCTTCTCTAACCAATCTTTTTTTCATAGGCTATGGCACATTACATCCCAGAACTGTTGGGGGACAGATCTTCTGTGTGTTTTTTGCTCTCTTTGGAATCCCTCTCAACATTGTTTTTCTGCACCGTGTTGGTAAGATGCTCTCACTGCTGTGTAAAAAGCTGGGGAAATTCCTGTACGAGAAAGGAATGAGAAAGGTAATTGTTTCTACTTAATCAGGCACAGTTATATGCTCATTTCTAGGTTTTTTTTTTCTCAAGTTTTATGCTGCCTTATCCTTTATTTTATTTGTTCTCATGCTGTGCTAGATGTGCTGGGAGAGGGAGAGACACATTCTTCACTCATGGAGCTAAGCAGATGTGGCAACTGTAGAGGAGATATTCAGAGAAAGGGAGGCATTTTGTCTTCCCACCTGAATGGAGACATTCAGCCCCCTTCAGCAATCAGTGGAGAGAGTGGGCATCCCATCCCACTTCTCCAGACACTTACCTTGGGACCTAACACTGTAGGGAAGTACCTGCCTCCCTTTATAACCAGTAAAGATGATTAAACCTCTCATCATGAGGCAGCAAAAAGCAGGTGAGCTGTGAAAAGCTGTAAAAGTAGGTGAGCTGCAGAGGTTTTAATGAATATTGACTCAATGAATAGTGTGTCACTGCTCCTAACTCATTACACAGTCCTTTACTCCCTCTCCACCCTTGACTTTGGCAATAAGGAAGCATCAGGCTGAAGTTGTTCATTTGAGCCCAACTGCTGAAAGGTGAGGAGACACCTGTAAAGGGCTAGAGAACGGGATGTGTCTTGTCTGATGTATGTCCCAAGTTATTTGCAGCTCCTCCCTTTCTCTCACCACTGCTGAGGAAGTGAGAATAGCTTTTCTGTGTCTCCTACTGTTCTCTTTCAGAATAAGGTATGAATGCTACAGATAACCCTGTTCAGACTGCTGAATTTCTTGCCATATCTGACAAACTTAAATAGAAATTAGGGCTTGCTCAGATACAGACACAAGCAAGTGCACAATGCATGAGGACATGGAAAATTATCCAACAGTTGCCATTGATTTTCAGGCAATCTAGACTAATAAAAATCTATACATGAAATATATGCACGCCTGGTTGATAAATCTTAACATATAAGGAGTCTTTTTCTCCAGTCAAGGCTTCTTCATGACTGCTGGGAAGTCACTGTCCAGGCACTTCTTTATCAGGACCTCATTAGTTAAATGTTTTCTTGTAGTAAGATATTCACTGGGTAGGAGAAAAGTTGTGGCACTGATCCAATGAGAAAAAAGTCAATAATCAAGACTCTTGAAGATAATACTGTCAGAAATGGTGCAAATATTTTTTATAAAAAAGTCTGGTAAATAAAATTTACCCAGGCAAATTTAAATGTCTTTAGGTGGCAACCCTGAATACCTAAAAATTAAAAATTATGTAGTCTAGTGATAAGCGGAAATAGTCTGACTCCAGAAAAAGTCATTGGATAGGAATTCTTCCTATGCTAATGGTCATTGATACAATCACATAAAAGACTACATCTTCCAGGGCTACTGTGGACATGCAACACCCATAACAAATGGCTTCCCCCTGCTCCCAAGCAAGGCTGGGGTGCTTCCAGAGGAAAAGTGCTCAGTCCCTGTGGTCCTAGATAGCCACCCACTTTGAACAGCCACCACTATGTATGGCCTACTAGCGTGTCAAATCATGATTATAATTGAACTGGTTTATTTTTCAGAAGAAGATCAAATTTCTGACCCTTTTGTTCTTCCTGGCAACGGGGATCCTAGTTTTTCTGTGCTTGCCATCAGTCTTCTTCCAGATAACAGAGGGCTGGTCCTACAGCGAAGGAATTTACTTTGCATTTATCACCCTCAGCACCATTGGCTTTGGAGATTATGTAGTAGGTAAGGTTGACTGCAGAGAGGAAACACGTCAAAACAGCAGGTTTATGACTGTGATTCCCATGGGTTGACTGCACAGGCCACCAGTGTGCTGTAGAGACAAATCTGTCAGCAGGAGTCGACTAGTCTTTGCCTTGTGCAGTTCTGGGGGAAATACTCTTTTCTCGGGGATTTTATGTGCTGACAAATATAATGAAATGAGGTGCTTTGGGGTGCAAAGATTTGGTGAGGAAGAGAGAAGTGTAAGGGGAGAATTCAATGAGCTTGGCAATTTGTACACACCAAAAGGGAACAGTTAGAGACAGTCATACAAAACAAGGCACTTATCACTGCTTTAGCTGTCTAAGACTTATGTTTCAAAGTGTAGAGTAAAGAAATAAGTGATCATGTTTCAGAAGACATGATTTTATACAACAGATGGAGAGGTGGAAATCCCAGTCATGGGAAAGTGAAGAAATCTACTCATGCTTTGGGAAGTGGGCCTAAAGATATGTATCACTGCAAAAGTGGCCTTCTTTGATCTCCTGAGCATCTCTGAAGGTTCTCTTGTCTTCACAAACCAGAGCTTAGGACTTCCCCTGAAGAAAAACTGTGTAAGATACCTTCAAGCATTCCAGAATGCTTCTCAAAATGCTTCCGTGGATCTGCTGACCAAAATATACTCTCCGAGGAATTTCCAGTGGAAGACCAAAATGTTCACCAGGAGCCAAATCAGTGTCCACAGAAGAAGCAAGCAAACACCTGGACTCCATGGAGAATCAAAGATTTCTCTACAACCATCTGTCCTGCCAGCATCTTGCCAGCCTGAACTTCTCCTCAGTGGGGATATGCAAAGGAAGCTGTTTAGTTAATACTGTGCTGTCCCTACAGAGAATCTGGAAGCCTCATGTTCCTTTCTAAGGGATGGAAATCCACCACAACCTCTACAGCACTTTCCTCCTCTGCAGCCATATTAGTTTACAAATGCAATTAATTATATTTTAATTTTTTTTATTGTTATTTAAAAATAACAATTAGATAGGCCTCCTGGCTTTATGATTTCACCTTCATTAGGATGACTTAACTGGAGCTGAAATGTTTTTCCCTGCCAGTATTTATCTTAATTTGCCTTAACAACAGTAATAAAATGGTGATAGGTTTAATGCTTCACATCTTCACAGTGAGGCAAGCAGAATGAATGACTGCTCTGATGTCAGGCATTGCTTACAGATGACAAATGGTTTTGTGCTGGTTTATTTGAGTTTATTTGCATTTTAGTAATTCAAAACTGTTTTGTAACAAAGCCTGTTTTGGGTAGGGAGACATGCTAGGAAGGTGGCAGAGTCTGGATTTAACTGTTTGGAATACATGTGCAGAGAGGTGATACCTCCAGGGAGAAACTCCCTGTGGGCTGTTAACCAAATATGTGCCCTGCTCAAGTCCAGTTTTGAGTTAAAATTATAAAGACATTGCCAGTTGCTTTGCTAACCCCACATCTTGAACTTTGGATAAGAGCACAAGGAGATGCTTTGTACCAAGGCTGAGAAAATGTCTCTGCCAACTCAACTCCAGCAGAAGGAAAAGAAACAACTGTTGGATATCTATCCATGAGGACAAACCTGCCCAGTCCTACCCCATATCCAGAGCTCCTGCATGACGAAGAACAAAAATCTTGCACATTAACCTGTGCAGTTCAGAGCACTGCAGGATTTGACAAGAGTTGCCAGCATCCTGACTCCTTCCACGCAGGTTCTCAAAGGGAAGTGATCCACCAGGTTTGTGGTGATCTCCCTGTCCATGGACATGGCTGTGTTACCAACTGTGTGGAATCACCCCTGGCAGTGACTTGGAGCACTCAATAAGCAATATCACCAAGTTTTCCTGCAGATGCCAGTGCCACATCATCTGTATCATGATGATAATGTTCTGTGGGACCAAGTTCAGTAGGAGCAAATGCTTTGTCGTGTGTTGGGGGTAGATTGCTGACATATGAAAGATCAGACTAAATGACCCACACAGAACAGCGAGTGTGAGATACTGGCTGATGCTAAGAGGGTTGGACTGCATGAAATGAGCTTTGGTTCACTGGTTTCCAGTGCAGAAAGTTGTGTTCTTGGCATGTGTCAATGAATTCTCATCAGTCACCTAGTTTTTTTAATGGAAAAAACCTGAAACCATTGCAAAGTAAGGTAGGAATTGCAAATACTCTCTTTGTATGAACACAGGTACCTATAATTTAAAGGAAATATTTACTACTTTGTAATCACACTCTGCTAGAAATACAGAGAATTACAATAACCCAGGTAGTAATGGTTGTGTGATTATAGCAGCCCACTGTGCTCTGCTTTTTATGCTTTGGGAGTTTGGGAATATTTCCAAGATAATACTGTATAATTTAACACTATTTCCCACATAATTGCATTTACCTGTAAATGCAGCAGTTGAACCAAGAGTGATATGCTATAAGGGGAAAAAAATATCCTGCTCTCATGCTAATTCACCTCAATCACAGAATCATAGAACCATGGAATGATTCACTTCAATCTCAGTGTGTCTTTTGACAGGCCAGCATATTTGTGCTAGCATATATCAGTTTACTGCAACAATAAACACAATAAACCATTGCTCAGCCTTAATCTAATGCTGGAGAGGTGAGAGTCTCCACTACAATGAAAAAGTCACCCTGAAGTTCTCAGTGTAAAATATATTGATGAATTCATTAAACTGTTCCACTTTACTTTGGCAAGGCAATTTTAACTTGTTAATTTTCTTCTTCTTTCTCTCCCCTTATCTTCAGGCAAACAGTCTGGCAGGAATTACTTTTCCTACTATCGAGTGCTGGTGGCCATTTGGATTCTTTTCGGCCTTGCCTGGATTGCTCTGCTGTTTAATTTATTGACAACGGTACTAGAAGATACTGAAAAAATAATTGTCAAGGATCTCCAGCAAATTGGAAAGGTGAGTAAGGACAATGGAGCAAGCCAGCAAAGAAGATGCTGGCCTGTTCAGTTTATTCCAGAAGAAGAACTACTACCACCACGTGCTGGAGGGGATGCACAGAAAATGGAGTCATTAACAGCAGATTCTGAACACACAAACAATGAAAAAAAATAGTTTTCTAACAGAAAAACTATTGCCATAACATATAAGAGTTGAATTCTTCATCGGAGAGTTGATAGTTAGTTATTCTAAAGAAAATCCCATGGAAATAAAATTTTTCCTGCCTTTTGCTGAGATATGACCTTTTAGAACTCAAGACTCAAAGTTGCACAAAGCCTGAATATTAATGGTAAGAAATTTGCTCCTCAATTTGCAGCTGGGTTGTGCTAACAACCTGAGAAGTGCACTTGCTTTGCAATGTGTTTTTAAGGTGCTTTCACAAAAATGCAGAAGAGGGGCACAGTGGAGCTTGTTGGCTCTGTTTGGATTTTGCTGCTTGCAAGAAATCATATCTCTTCCAGGAACTGACATACACAAGCTTTTCTGAGGCATTGCATAGCACTTTTGGAAGAAGAAATAAGGGTATATATGCGAAATAAATAACTGAAATAGATGCCTGACTTGAGCCATCATACTGGATAAAGTGTAGTGGTCTGAAAGATGTGTTTAAATGGCAAGACCTGGGCTCAGTTCAGAGACATCAGAAGCATCTAATGGACAGGGTTATGAAAAGGTTAGCACGTTAGAAATGATTCATTCTACCTCTTCCTGTTTTATACTAAGTTGAATAAAAGCAATTTTACCTTTTATCCCTGTGGCTCTGAAAACCCTTTCTGACAGTGTTTATGAAGAGCACATAAACCCATGTCTTGAATTCAAATGTTATAATAATTTTATTCTATAAGCTTTTTAGAAGAACAGAGACTGGTTTGAAAGGAGTCCTCACTGCATCAGAGCCTTTCTGCTATGTTTGTGTTGCATAGGAACCATGAAGTCATTCTGAGGGGCTGTAGCTCTGCAAGTGTGAGTGGTGTCTAAACCTTCAAACAGGTGAAAAAAAAAGGATGCTGGATCTGGACATGGTTTTTCAGATGTACTGTGTGGTTTGCAGGCCACTTCTGGGTGAAGACTCTGACCTTCAAAGGCTCGATCTATGTGCCATGTGCCTTCTGTGTGTCAAAAGTGCAGGGAAACCCAACCCTGAAGCACTGGGAAAGCAACTGGGATAGCCACAATCATAGACACACGTCCCATGGGTGTATATGGTCACACCAAAAGTCAACCTAGTCCAATACCCTATCTCTGATCATGCCTCCAAAGACTGTAAGAAAGAGGCAGCTCTGCCGTGACCCAGCGCTGGGGTCAAATCCCTCTTCCAGCAGCTGGGGGCTCGAGGCTACCCAAAACAGGTGGTGAGGTCTCTGTACATCAAATCCTATGAACTTGCCCACATACTGAACTCACATCAGCGTCCACAGGACCCACCCAAGGCAGAACATAGCTTTAGTACACAAAGTACCTCTCTTTGACAGTGTTGAACATGACAGGTTTTTGTGAGCCCCTCAAGCTCCTGTTTTGTCAGACTAAATAACTGTTCTTTGATCACCCTCTGGGTGTTAGTTACAGCAAGAGCAGTCCTTGCCAGAGTTATTCCTGCAGGAAAGGGAGAATAAATTACAGCTATAAAGTAATTTCAGGTCATAAAGATGCAATCAGCCTTGAAGTTGGAATCATAACTGTTTCAGTCAAACAGAATCATGCTTCTTGCCAAAACAGTTCTGCTGGTTCAAGACCTGGCATGTAAACCTGACCAAATATGTACTTTCTTTCCCTCCACAAATTATTTTCCAGTGTTAGCCTCAAGGCTGACTTCTCACCTCATATGTCTCACTGTCAGTAAACCTTTCTGAGGCAGCAGGAACAAGAACTGACTGAAATTAGGGAAGGGTATCAAGGGTATCATAGGACACAGTGGTCCTTGTGCAAGCCAGAATCGTATTGCTGTCACAGGGCAACACCAGAGCCAGGCAGAGAAAGCTGCTGAATGCTCCCAGGCAGGGATCTCTTCACATCTCTGTTTTTCCCTCTGACCGAGCAGTGACCCACATTATTATTTTCCAAGTATAATTTTTTTTCTCTTCTTTTTTTCTTTTTTTTCCCCATCCCTTCTTACAGGGACTATTAACCCCACTCCCAGTCTAATGGAGGTACTGTCAGGGCTGGTTTAGGGTAGGGTGGTCCTGCCTTGGGGTGAAATAGTCATTTTGCACAGCTTCTCATAATTCCTTCCATGCCCCCCAAACCCAATGAAGGGTTTTCTTCAACTTCTTCCCATTGTCCCACTTGCTCCCTGTTGTGACAAATAACAACCTATCAACCTAGCTCTAGAACAAGCTGGTGATGTCCCATTGCAACACAGAACAACTGAAGATGCTTTTTTTTAGACATTTCAGGAAGGGCAAGAGGGACATCCCATGGACTCTGACTGTAAACAGCAAGCACAGAGCCAGGCTTTGCTGCAAAATGGGACAAATTCTCTTTCCTTTCCACTGGTGGATATTTAACAATAAGCCTTGAAACCCAAGCACTTCCCACTCTCGAGAATCCATCTGCCCTGTGCAGTTGCTGCCATAAGGTGCAGGTGATTCGCCTTTTAACTCGTTCCTCTTGCCACACTTCCCAGGTAAGGATGCAGCACAGAGGGACTGGAAAAGTTACCCAGGGATGGGGAATGCAGGAAACATTAGCCAGGAATGCCCATCATGGGGCTGTCCTCCTTCGGGCACCAAGAACCGAGGTGTCCCTTCAGCTGTAGATGCCAACCTGGGAACACAGAAATCCACATCCGCAAGGAGAAGCTCAGCTGCTCTGAGAAAGAAGACCGGTCATTCATAAATCCTCAGCCCCGCTGGGAGCCCTTTTGAAGAAGGGTCTTGGCTTTGCTTCTCGTGCCCTCTCGTGGCTGTGTGCCGCAGACCCTCTCCCTTCGCTTTCCTGCCAAGTTTGGGTAGTTTTACTCCACCTCCCGCTGTGCAGTTCGGTTTTGTCAGTGGGAGCCAGAGGAAGCCGCCCTGTATTTTTATCGAGTTCATACGAGCTTGCTAAGGGCTAAAAACATGCCTCATTCTCCAGAAGGAGATGGGGATAGGCGCCTCAAACCGGTCCAGCCAGGGATCCTGCCTTATACCCACACTGAGACAACTTTGTGGAGGTCAGCTGGGAATGTGACTGCCTTCTGTCGGCAAACCACCCTCACTGGCAGCATGCAGGGTGCCAGTGAGGTGGAGTACACTCCTATCACATGCCCCATGCACGACCTTCCCGTGAATAACATCTGCTGCAGGATCGAGAGGCACATTCCCACCACATGTCCCACAGTGAAAGGGATCAATCTAGAAAAAAATGTACAAAAAATCAGGTTTGGGTGCAGGCTTTGGGGGCAGGGTGAGCTGGCCCAGGCTGTGGCACCCTGAAGGGCAGGCAGGGCCCCATGCAGCACGAGGGGTGGAGATAGGAGCTGCTGATATGTAGAAGAAAGAACCAGCACCAAAGGGTGTGTGGTCCTCTAGGCTGGGAAAGGTAAGGGAAAAGCCCGGGAAAGCTGCAAGCCAGGGTGGGAGAGGAACTTTTTTGGATGCAGTATTGTTTCTTGTGCTTAAGCTGAACAATAAATCCATGTCCAGAAGGGCTTAGGCACAGCAACAAATCTCTCTGGGTCTGGAGCAAGCAGCCTCTTTCAGCATTATCACAACAGCAGCAGAACTTGTCCTCACATCACCCCTGAGAGGGAGAGCTGTTGATTCCTGTGCAGGTAATAGAGGCCCCAGAGGAAATTCGGTGTGTCACCTGAATTCATGCATGAGACCTCTGGCTGTCTCAATCAGGACCGGGTGCCCTGGTGTTACTTATTAATAAATTAGAGCCAGCTAATTGTTCTGTAGTTGTTGAGGTTAAGAAAATAGTCTTAAAATGAGAGCAAAATTAGAATGGAGATTCTACTCCAGAACTGGAGATTTAAAATAATCCCAAGATTTTTAATTCATGAGTATAAGGCAGGCTTTGCTCTTCTTCTGCACGTTCTCCTTGCCCAAGGGACAGAAACCAGGAATAAAATACGTTCCAAATCCCTCTTCTGCCAAGCTACGAGGTGACAGCAGTCCTCTGGAGACCAAGGGGAGGAGCTCTCCATTGGCAGATCTGTACAGCCTGGAGCCTTTTCTGGGAGCTGCTCAAAGCCCTCACTGTGACCCATTCCCACTGCGCCGCTCAGGGAAATCCAATTTTCACGGAGCAGCCTCCTGTGCAACTGCCAGCTCTCCCACTGCAGCTTGTTTTCAAATGGGAAACATTTCCAAGGCAAGCCAAGTATTTTCCAATACATTAAACCAGTTGCTGAAAAACTCCAGGCGTATGATGGTGAAATATATTATCTTGGATTAAATGGCAGCAGCATGTTCCTGCATTCAGTCCAGGCTGCTCCTCATACATCACCCACATCTTTGCTGCCAGCCAGGAAACAGGGTGCATTTCTCAGCTTGAAACCAAGGAAAAGCCACGAGGAATTATCTTTCCCTCAGAAATTCAATTGCCTCCAGAGAGAACAGGAGAAACCCTACTTTGATCTGTCTTTAATTAATATGTGGGTTGTTTAGGGATCGTTTGAGGTCTCCCTCAATTATTAGTCAGTTCATTTGGAGAGATTATTTTTTTTCTGGAAGCCAAGGTCCAACTCAAAGCAGTGGAACACCTTGGCTAATGTAACATCATGTAGCCAGTGGGACATTTTTTTACAGAAATAGCAAAATTTGGGCCACACACATGATGTTTTCCACTCTGTCACACTTGGACTTATGCTTCTTCGCCTGACTCCTGATCAAAAGGCTGGATCCAGCTAAGAACTGGTTTAACAAACATAACTAATCACTCTCCAAAGGCTTGTAATCCATCCCTCATGATCAGACTTGAAGAAAAAAAAAAACCGACATATTTTGGTGCCAGCCAAATCCCCTTGTACCATTCCAGCAGGATTCAAAGTGGTCTTAAAGACAGATTTTATACCATCTCTCACACTGTAAGGAAAGGAGGTCCTTTGGGGTCTCTGGCACATGTGGCTGAGGACCACCTTGGGGCAACATTGCTATTCCATACTAGTAAAGTCAGTATTTAGCTATTCTGGGGCTAAAAGGTTGCAAAGGAGCAAAAATGCTGCCTCCAGAGAACTTGATTGATGCTCTTGTATCCCTGGAGCCAATCTCACCTCCAATCCAGAATGGGAACTCAAATCTGCTTAGAAAATTCAGCATTTTCTATCACAAGGGGTCCTGGGCTCAGTTAGAATAACTCCCTACCATGGATTTGGGAAGGCTCATTTTGCTGAGTTAAAGTTAGAGCAATTATTGAATCCATTTGATAACCAGTTCAACATGATTTAGGAGTGAACAAAGACTTTCCAAATTTTTCTTTCAATTACTCTTATATATGTGGTTGGAAACTATAGCTGTACTTTGTGGTGAGATGTCGAAGCATGAAATAATACATCCCCAGAAAGAGAGATACACTGATAAGCAGAACAATAGTGATAACAAGCATGTGTCATTGAAAAATGAGAGGAGGTACAACTTGCAGTTTAAGTTAATGGCTTCCTTGAAAAGGATTAGCCAGAAAGGTGCTGATGCTCTCAAAGAATAATTGTGGTTTGAGGTGAATCCAGCTTCTCAAAGTAAAAGATGATTGTTCATCTTTTGGTGTGGAGAAAATCAGGCATCAACACCAGAAAAGAACCTAAGTCAGAATTTGTGCTGAAAATTCC